ACGACACACCTGCTCAGTCAGCACAGTCCATTATTCCCCATGTCTCCAAGGGTCCAGCTCAGCAGAGCCGGAGCTGCCAGGGAATTGTTTCCCTCTCCCTCTGCCCCAAAGCTCAGAGGAACTGAATGTGCTCAGCACAAAGTGAGTTCTGCCATGGCTACAAACACTCACAGGCAAGAGCCCCTGGAACAAACCCTCTCCCAGTGTCTCTGATCCCGAGTGTGCCACGTGTCAGAAACACTCAGCAAGCAGCTGAGAAAAGAGAATCAAGCCTGGCAGGAAAAACCCATCATCACCACAGCCCTTCTTTCTTCAGCTTTCACAAAATATGGGGAAAAATGCTCCAAGCCCCTGGGAGGGAGGTGCCTCCCAACATCAGTCCTGCTGTGGCCTCCTGTCCCACAGCCCAAGGGCACAGCGATGCTGTCCAGAGTCCATCCCCAAATCCATTTCCCAATTCATCCTAAAGAGTTCAGGCTCGAAGGGTGAGACATAGCTATGGGGAGTGGGATTCCAGACATTCCTTTGGGAAGCTGGAGGCACAGATGCCCCAGCTCACCCCCCTGAGGACACACTTACTTGTCCTACAGGGTGACAGCACCACACTGGCTTCATCCTTTGAACATCAGGCATCAATTATTTGGGAGAGCAGCTCCATATTTTTCTCGTGCCTCTGATAAAAGCACCACAATCCAGACTGAGTCCATCCATGAGCTGTGTCAGAGAAGGGCAATTTGAGTAACAGAAGCTTTTCCATGCTTTGCAGAATCCCCTCCCTGTGACGGAAGTCACCACTCAAGGCCCTTTGATTGACCCAGCTGAATTTCAGGAGCAGTTTCCCAGACACCAACATTACCATGTGGATCTCAGCCTGGGAAATGGACCAAAGGAATTCAGGGCAGCTGCTGATGATTTGGGCAATTATGAGCTGCTGTGAATCAATAAGGTTTAACTTGCAGGGAGATCCTCGTGGGAGAACCCTTAGGGGCTGATCTCAGGCAGGATTTATTCAAAGCTTTTCATTAGGGACAAGAGCAGCCTCCAAAGCATGAGCTGGGAAGGGTGGGGGCTCTGCCGAGGTGGGTGCAGGGCACCAGAGATCCAGCAGGGAGGCTCTGAGTGCTGCCTTTCCCTGAGCTCATGAGCCACGAGGAAGGGGAATGGACTGCAAGGTGCAGAAAGGCCCTTAATTACAACATCCCAGCTCACTACAAACATCTGTGATGAACAGGAGGAGTCCAGGAGCCTGAAGGATGGGGAGCACATCCCACACCCACCAACCACCACAAGGAGAAGGGTGAACACCCAAAATAAGGGCTTGGCACTGCTGGGGGACAGACTTGCACAGAATCCCGGGAATGTTCACCATTTGCACAAAAGCCAACCCCAAAACCACCCCAATTAGAGCAGCTTTCTGCTCTGCTCAATTAGGACAGTGCTACAGGTCCCATGAGCTGCCAAAGCTGCCAGCAGCACTGGGAAGGCAGTGGGACATGTCCCTGTGCAGGTTTAGAGGCTCCCTGGGGACACTGATTCCCACAGGGAGGCCAAATAGGTATAAACCAAGCCGGGATTGCTGCAGTCAGGCAGGAGCTGAGGTCAGGCTTATCTGAAACAGCGACACAATCAATCTGGACCAGCCAGGCTCGGACCTGCTCCACACAACTACAGCCACCGGGAAGGACAGAGCCATTCCCTCCCCTCCAAGGGACACTCAGCCACTCCACAAATACAGACCCTTAAGTGCACAAAGAGAAGTGAGATCAAGCAGTTTGAAAAAGCCACCACTTGTACATATTTCTCTCTCCTGTTTTTATATGCAGCACTTTCTATCCCCTCGGCCAAGCCCAGCCGTAAATAAACACGGGGCTTCCACAGGGCTGTAAAATTAAAGATCGGGACCAGAAAAACAACCATAAACTAAAGGTCAGACATAACACTGTTAAATAAAAAGACCAGAAGGAATCACAGCACTTTCCAGCCTGATTTCCAGCACAAGAGAGATGAGGGAGTTCCTCCCCCTCCCATTTCCAATGACACAGATAAGGAGACTGAAAAAAGCGCCGAAGTAGAATGCAAAAATCTTCCCTCTGTCAGCAGCAGACCTGCACATAGCCCTGAAAAATGAGTTGTCAAGATGAGAGGCACTAAAAACATCGCAGCCCCTCCAACACTTGAGGCATTCCTTGGGAGAGCTGTGTTTTTTCACATTCAAGGTTTTGATCTCAGAATTGTTCTGCTCTCTGGCTCCGTGGAGAAAACGGGAAGCGAGCAGCATGTTAAGAATCCTTTGAAGGTATCCTTCCCAAGTATTCCAAAAGACAAAGGGAAAAAATAGATACACACTTGAGCCTCAGGCCCCGGTTCAAGGCAAAGGAAGATTTCAGAGAGTTGAGGCACAAGGATGATCCCAAGAAAAGGGATGGGCACGTGAAGACTGAAAAGGCACAACCAGATGCAATACACAGAGACATGGAACTGGAATTGCCACCCTGGAAACAGAACCTGGTTTGCACCAGCTCTCCTAAGAGAGATGGGCTGGAAAAACAATTCCTTTGGGCAGAGCAAATAGGTTGAGTGAAGGACACCTTCCCTTTCCTCGACCTGTCACCGGATGGGAAGAGCGACACACCTCATGATTCAGAACTCACCCAACCTAAACACAAACTGCGTAGGAATTCACCCTGAAGAAGAGTCAGCCAGAGTTTCAAGGTTTTATGGAGATAACAAACTTGTCCTTGAGCAATATCCGAACATCTACGTTTGTATAAACACCGAGAGCACCGGGAGAATAAATATATTTATACTCACCTACGTGGGCACACAAAAACAGCACAGCAGGCTGGGAGGAGGCAGGAGGGACTGGAAGTGTCACCACAGAGCAGGAGTCAAAGACAGGAGACATTAAGTATCACCCCAGCACTATCACTTTCAATCTTTGTCAAAGTTCTCAGATTGGAGCAGTCCCCCTTCCTCCCTCCCTCCCCAGGCCTGGAAGGGATTATAAACCACCCAGAGATGGATGCAAACTGTTAGATGCATTCATAAAAAAAAAAATAAATAAGTCTTACTCCACGGGATAATCGCCTTAAACCCAAGCTGCTCCACATAGCTCCCGGCCTCGTTTGGATTCCGCTCGGATGTGGCTCCCGACCACGGGGCTCTGCCTCCTTCCTGGCATTTCCCTGGATTATCTCTGTGCTGTGCCATTACCTTGAGATTAAGCTTGTTTTACTCCAAATTCAGCTGCTCTTTGCTCGGTGTTTGAGCAGCATTGCTTATGCTGTCTTTATTCCCTGAAAAGTGGCAGGAGGGCTCAGTTCCATTTGCAGTGCTCGGCCCCCAAAGTGGGATCAAGTGGAGACAACGCTTTGTGGAACATTCCTTGAATAAAAACCTTCATGTTGAAGCCACACAGGCTGACTTCGGGGATCAATTCCCAATGGCTTTAAGAAGGATGAACCAGTATTGGTGGACCTAAAATGAGACTGACATGCAAATCCTGGGGGCAGGTGTTCACTCCTCTGCTCCAGCCCAGAGAACAGGTAGCATTTCCCATTTTGGGAATTGTCTTGCTCCAAGTGCTGGAGAGTCAGGAATGCTGAAAGCTTTTGAAGTATGGCAGGAGCAGCTGGCAGAGAGGAGCCTGAGGTGAATTCAACTCCAGTTCAAAACACCAACCCCTCCTCCGAGTCACTGCACGGGGCCGGAATAAAAGGATCTCAGGAAACAGCAGAGCCCCAAAGACAAACAGTGCAAGACATGAAAGACTGAAGGAAGGAGCAGCAGGAGTGAGAGCAAAGCTTCTCTCCCTCACCCCAGAAGGACTGGTTGTAGTTCAGTGGGATGTGGATCAAGAAAGAACAGGATTGTCCTTTCTTTCCAATTAAAACTGATTGATTATATGCAAACGGCAAAAAGTGAGGCCAATCCTTCCACATCCAGCTTTGAGTATGGAATCACAGGATGGTTTGGGTTGGAGGGACCACAAAGCTCATCCACTTCCACCACCTGCCATAGACAGGGACACCTTCCACTAGCCCAAGTTGCTCCAAGTGCCATCCAACCTGGCCTTGGACACTTCCAGGGATGAGGCAACCACAGCTTCTCTGGGCCTCACCACCCTCACAGGGAAGAATTTCTTCCCAGTATCTCCTCTAAATCTCTACTTTTCTGGTGGGAAGCCATTCCCCCTTGTCCTGTCCCTCCAGGCCCTTGTCCAAAGACCCTCTCCAGCTCTCCTGGAGACCCTTTAGGCACTGGAAGGGGCTCTGAGGTCTCCCTGGAGCCTCTCCCAACCTGTCTCCAGAGCTGAGGGGCTCCAGCTCTTGGAGCATCTCCGTGGCCCTCATGTTCCACATCATGTTCCACATCATGTTCCACATCATGTTCCACATC